TCGTGTCTCCCACCAAGGTCTTAATGGCATTTACAGTGTCTGCTATGGAACCCTTTGTTCGTGTGGTTCTTCCAAAGAAGTTGTGTGTGCATTCAGACAGTGCAGCTGTGCAATGTAAAGCAGTTTTTGGTATGGTGATGCCAGGGTGAATTAGCAGAAGAAGGCTGGACACTTCTGTCTACCTGCTGATTTCAAAGCAAATTTTATTTGAAACCAAATCTATCAAACACAGACTTTGGTTTGTAAGTGCTCTGAGCAAACACAATAGTGTCTTTGCAGCTGGTGAACATTGTGGGCAAAGGCAACACACTAAAGTCTTTTTACACTGCAATGTAAGGTCTTGCACTTTTATTGAAACAACGCAAAAAAATAAGTAAACAAAGCTGAATTTCTTTGATTATTTATTTAGAAAAATTGAAAAAATGTGGAACCGACATGTGCTGTTTGTGCAGTATTAGCTGTGCTGTGAATTCTGTGATATTTCCATGTCAAATGGTTGCTCAGAAAGAATTAGAAGCAATAGAAAGTCCTGGTCCCACAAACTTGTTCACATATATCAGGTGCCGTAGGGTTAACCGTCAATCACAAACAAAGAAAATCTTCTTCTTGAAGGGGGTGTGAACAGCAACAGCTCAGCTGCAATTAAAGCTACAGACATTGAAGCAGTGTGATTGGAACTGGACCAAAACCAGGAGTTATATAGTCATGTTGAAATGAACCACCTTTGTGATATTGAGCTGAAAAATATACATTCTTTAATTTGCTGAAAAGGGGCAAAGTTAGATATGTAGAATTAAATTCTTAGAGGCTTTCTGTAGGTTGAACCTAATATTTGGGCACTGCAGACATCATCAATGATGTGAACCACTCGGCACTCCCTGAAACACAGAAAACGAGCTAATGGAAGCTTGCCCAGCAGTGGTTTTGGCACGTCTCCACTTGTTTTTCATAATCTAGGTCACCTAATGATTTTGTGAGTGTGTGGGGAAACACCGTAGATGTGCAGTGGAAAAAGACAAAGGAAAAAAAGTAAGAGAGAGAGAGAGCACCAGGTTATTTGCATTAGTATTTGAGCCAATTTTAGCCCATGCTTTGAGGAACATTTTGACATGCTAATTAAAGGCCTTCATCTTGTCCCTCTCCCCTCAACACTTAGCACACTAAATCCTGTTCTGAAGTAGCAGAAGCACCACTGCTTGCTTCCTCTGAGGCTGTGGAGCTGAAGATTTCTGCAGCGGTGGAGGAAACAACTGGCTAACGTGATGTGACAGCGTGGAACAGCCCACAGGGGCTATCATGTCACATAAGCATACATTAGCATATTGTTAGTATGGAGCTTGGACTTAAACCCAAAGATACACACACATAAAGAACACACTGTCGCAGCAGGATTAAGCCTTGGGGTCAGCACATTTGCTTCAACATAAAATCTAACATATGGCCAACTAAGCCCTGTATCTTTGATTTGTGTAAATGGAGTGTGTTGAACTGTTTTTAAGACAATTAGGTTGCCTATTTCTGGACTCCATATGGCACCACAGGCTATGCAGTGAAGGCTGGGCTAATTCAGTTTATGTTGAGTCATTCATTTTTAAATTGAAAAGACAATTTAGTCTTTTAAGTCTCAGTCTTGCATGAGAACAGCAAATATGTCTTTCCTTATTCTTGGATGTTTCCTCAAGGCTACATTGTTTTAAGAAAGCAAACCTGAAACAAGTTTTCTTTTCTTTATTACGTGTCATCATTTATACTTTTGTCTTTGGTAGTGTTTTCTTCATCACATATGTTCTGAGTGTTTGAACCTATCGACCTATTAACTAAATTAAATAAGTAAGTGACAGTATACCCTTGCTCTCTAGAATGACACATAGAAATAGTCTCTGATCTGACACCTTGCATAACTATTTCAAATCCTTTTTTTCTCATATGACCACTCCACAATTAACATTTGTTTTAAGTTAAGTTTAAAATTAGTGTGTAGATCAGGTTTGGGAAACACTGAGGTTTGGGTAAAAACTTGGGATGTCAATATCCAATATGCTGATTATTTTCAAGCTCATTTTGGCTGATCCCAATGTATAAATATAGTTCTTCCACCTAACTGCAGAAAACATCAGGTCTCTGCTGTAGTGGAATTAACATTCTCTTACACCTATGCTTATCTCGAAGGTCCACTGACAGGTGCAGAGCTAACATTCAAAGTACACATTCACAAAACAAAAAAAATAGCTCAGCTTACGTTTAAAACATGCATGTTTTTGTAACCTTTTCAAACAAGACTGTAAACATTTAGCCTGACAAACGCCATCTGCCTGGCCTTTGCCAATATCTTATTTTAAAACCTTTATCAGCCAATACTGACGACGATGCAAATATCATCCTGAGCCACAAAAGGACTATGTTAAGGTTAGCAGATCTTTGTCACCGTGGTTACAGTAATAAACATTTGGTTATGATCAGGGAACGAATGCGCTTTCAAAAAATAACCTATTACCTATTTCAAACACTTGCTTAAATGTATGGTGGCACGATTAAAATTCAAATGTAATGATTTGGATAAAGTTTTTAGGTTGCTAACATCATTTTGGTGGGTTGGATTGATACTGCAAAGCTGGTTTTTGCATTTTAAATTAAACTCCAACCCTTTTTCTGTACTGGCTTTCTTTTACAGCATCGCCTGACTTCTGCCTTTACTCCTGTCAAGATTATAGCTGCGGGAGAGTTCTGTCTCCTGAATGTAAACGTGTTGTTTTGAGGCCTTTGTCCAAAACAACAGACAAGGAAAAAAGAAAGTGGGGTCTGAAATGCAACCGAGTGTCTCTCTATTATTTAATAGTAACCACAGTGCAACCAACCAAACTACACTGCCTTTCATTTTGGTTAGTTTTTTTTGTTTTTTTTCTTGCCCTCTGTCTCTCTTTCACCCCTGATCTATCCACACACTCATATGTTTAGCACACACTTATGCACGCACATGCAGTAATCAGTGATTCACAGTGTGTGTTTTCCTGTGCTGTGGTCTCAGCAGGCGTTGACCTTGAATCAGAGTTCACCACTAAATCATCCAGACACTGCCGCCCTGCTCATTAATCTCTTTCAAACTCACGCAGAAAGCACATACACAAACTGCACATGGCATACCGCATGCATGCATGCATTACACACACATGCAAACAGACGTGCATCTTCCACTGTAACACACACATACCCACAAACATACCAGTGTATCCCTCCTTGTCTCTTTTCTCTCCATTTTCTGCCAGCAGTGGTTTGATTGTCATTGACAGTTTCCATTAGAGACGGGCTCATTTCACGCTCAGTTCAATCATTTCAGGAAGTGGATTTTCCCCTAAAACTCAAAACTGGAAATATTTTGCCACAGAATAGCTCTCATATCCAGGAATTATTGAGGATGAAAGCTCTGTCATTATCATGCAAATTGCAGTTTCGATTTACATTTTGGACTGAGGGAATCGAAAGAGATCTCACTGTCAGTCCATGCTCTCTCCTCCCTCCTTCTCTTCGTCTCTCTATTTGTGGTTACCAGCGTGTCTCAACCCCTGTAAGACTGGCACACACTAAGCCTCAGTCGTGGTGCAATGGTGAGAATAGAATGATGCATAAAGACTGGAGAGAAGCATCAAAAAATCAAGGGTAGGCTGGGCAGGGGAAACAATCACTGGTGTAGTAAGAGAGTTAAAGATAAAGAGGAAACATCAGTCTCATATCTTGTTTAGCTTCTTTCTTCTTCCGTCTGGTTTCTTCTGATTGGCTTGTTGAATGTGTGTCAGGTTGGCTGTGTTAGGGGGCGTATTGGAGATCAAAGCCTGATTCAGGAGCAGGATTTTACTTTTATTAACCGTGTTATTCCAGAGCTGTAGTATTCACCCAGCAGCCACAATCAATTATCTGACACCCACCTCGCTCCCCTCGTCCCTCACCCTCCCCTCTCTCTTTCTGCTGGGTCTTATTTCGTCATTTATCAAAACTGTAAAATATGTTTCTCTCCCTCTTTAATGGCTCATTGCTATGCGCATCTCCCTTTTTTTTTTAAACTTCCTTGCTCCTTCTCTTTATGCCTTCGCCATCTTTTCTCCTTCACTTTAAAATTTTCTTGCTTTTGTTTTTTTTGCTATCACATCCCTTTCGTAATCTCATTTCTGTTTGGTTTTGATCTTCTATTCTGTCCTCATTTCCTGTCTTTTCGTGTTTTGTTTCCTCTTCTCCTTTTTGCTTCACTATTTCTTTATGTGTGTCATGTTCTCCTCTCATCCCTTCTTCCCTCCCCTGACCTCCATTGCTTCTCCCACATTTTTCAGGTTCTTTTTTTCCCCCCTTTTCTTGTCTCTTCACTTCTTTTGTATCTCCTCTCCTCTCCTCTCCTCTCCTCTCCCCTTCCCTGTGGGGCTCCTAATGAGGACCTGAATGCGTCCTCCAGGGGCCTCTAATGATGGACTCCCTGTGTGAGTGTGTATTAGCAGAAATGCGCACAATTCCCACAAGCAGTGACTGTGTCTGTTTTCAGCTCTGCAGTGTTTACCTTCACAGGAATTTGGCAGTTTAGTGCATGGTTGACGTGTCTGAGTGTGAGTTTCGCCAGTGTATTTGTGTATTTGTGTGTGCGTGCCTCTTGTGGGCCCCTTCCTGTGCCTCATGACCTCTGTTACAGTGCTGTGATTGGTAGCTTGCCCCTCTACTCCTAACACATTTTTTCACTTTGGTTCAGAGTTCAGTTCCCATCCAAAAGTTTCCCAGAAGGAATGCATTTTTAAAAAAAAAAAATGTTGCTACTTAAACATTTACCTGAAAACGTAACCTGCTGATAAGTAGTTTATCCTTCTGCTATAAAGTTGAATACTGTAGTTTTTCAGTCATCTCTATAGGATGTTTGTGTTTTTTTGCTTTGCTGCTGGTGGATGGAAGACACACACACACACACCTGTACCTGACCATCATCTCATGTCTGTACTGATGTGTAACTCTTTCCATTTTCTCCTCAGGCCTTTGGGAACGCGAAGACCGCCCACAACAACAACTCCAGCCGCTTCGGCAAGTTCATCCAGGTCAACTATCAGGAGAGCGGCACTGTCAGGGGGTGAGATACACATTTAACAAATACAGATAAAACACATGTATACAACCTGACAGGCACACAATTCACACATTCACATATGCCAACGCTGTCACTGTCACACAATCTGTTGTATTAAGGGGAACCGTCATCTGTCACTAATTTCTTTAAGATATTGCTTAATACATTGGAATTATAGCATGCTTGAGCTATAATGTAATTATTTGCCATTTTAACAAAACATTTATTTGTATTATTTAGGGCAAAGCTGTTGGTGTAATAGAACTTTGTCAAATGTTTTGTGAATTGTAAAATTAGATCAAATGTATATAGCACTTTATTGTAAACTTGAAACACATGTTTGCTGTACTTTTTTTCCCTTGTCTGACAAAGGAAATAAAAACAGCTATTAAGTTCTGTTGAGACAGAGTAATTACTGAGTGTTATTCCACAAATTACTGAAAGCCATATAATCAGATAATTCTGCCTCTTAACTTTCCTTCTTGTCTCCTTTTATTAATGAGACTTTCATTGACATGAGCACAGCAAGTGTTGGTGTCCATATGGACACCAGTCTACTGAAATTGAAGTTTTCCTTCAACATCAACTGAGCATCAGCAGCTTTCTCTTCACACTTTGAACTCCAAGCAGGTTCTGGAGGTTCACAGGGTTAAACCAGTCTTTTAAACAGTGTGCCTGTGTTTGTGTTTATTTCCAGAGCATATGTAGAGAAGTACCTGCTGGAGAAGTCACGTCTGGTGTACCAGGAACACAATGAGAGGTGGGTTTTCTCAGGTTGTTATTATGGAGTTAACACGTTTGTGACATGTTTATGGTAAGATTTTGTCCTGGGCTCCCTGAATTAGTAGATTTTACTTTGAAAATTTTAACTGAAGCACCTCTGATGCATTGTCAAGAGCCCCTTAGCAGTACTAACACACAGCAGGAGGCCACTATTTAAAGTGTATGAACATAAAATTATTATAAAAAACAGTTTTTCATGTGAAAATCTCTTAAAGATAAAAAATAACTTTGGTAATCCTGGGTGATGTGGTACTGCCATAAATAATATAAGTAAGAAATTTGAAACACTAAGCGCCTTGTACCTACGTGTCTGAGAGATAAGATGTTGAATCCATATCTCTTCACTCACATATTCTTTGTCTCAGAAAGTCAATACTGAAATTACCTCCAATTCCTCTGGAAACTGAGGCTGTATCAGGTGTCCATCTGAAACGGCCCCTGCTCTTTGCGTAACTGTCACTGAGTTTGGACTTTCATTGACACAGTACGGGATGAACGTCTCTAAATACTTTGCTAAAGACACATTTTAGAATGATTTTGGGCATATTTCATGTGAATTGGTTATATTTCCTATTCAGGGTAGCAACACTTTCCCTTCTTCTTCTTCTCACATACAAGCGATGACACACTCACATATAAATCCACTGTGTTTAACTCTCTCAGGCCCTGAGCATGTACATACACATTCATGTCTCCACCTGCACCCACATCCCCCCAAAAATCATTTTTCTTCTCTCAGGTAACACTTAAACACACCCCCGCTGTCCCCATATTGCTCATCTGTCCCAGGTGACAGTAAAAAAAAGAAAAAAAAGCTCACTGATCACTGATCCTACTAACATAATGGTTTTGTGAAGAGAGGAAAAAAAGAAAATTGCAAAACCCACCAGCGGTCATCTAATCCCTCTAACCCTGATTGGCCCGGGGTTTCTATTTCATACTGATGACAGGCCCTGGCGGCCATATTGATAGGGTGGAAACCAAAGACAGGACCTCCCAGACAGCTCAGTCTTGAAGCACAGGGGTGGGGGAGCAGGCAAGCTGATGATAAACTGCGAACTATCTTAAATCTTAAAGCTGGTTCCCTGACAGGTTGCCTCTGTACGACCCCAGTGTAGGAAAAAAAACACAAGGGAGGAAACTCACTGAGCTTTCCAGGGATGCTGTTGGCTGAGGACTCTGAACCTTGGAGGGGTGATAGTGAAGTCAGACACTGGTCCAAATGCAAGTGAAGGGTTCTTATATTCAGGAACTGGGATTCCACTTGAAGTCTTGGGTTAGCAGATTTACTAACTAAATACCCTTAAAAGTGCCTCATCTTGTAAAGGCAAAAACTTTGTTTAGATTTGCTGAGGTCTAATTATCATTGAGTGAACAACTGAACATCTGCAACGCATCGGCCATTGCAATGTGCATAAGGTAACCTAACTCAAACACATCATGATACAGCTTATTGCCTATTGCAAAAAGAAAACTTCGACAGTTCACATTTTCCATGACCAAGCTCCAAGAGAGATCTGTCTGGAAGAAGATCAGTTACCTTAGGATCAGGATTTTTTATACACTGAGTTTGTTTACACTTTATTTACAAGACAAGGAGTTTGTTGAAAGACAGGCTCTGCAAGTGCACATCAAAACATAAGAAGAGAACCAGAGAGACACTGAAAAGGGAGATTTGATCACAAAAAATAAATGCAGTCAGTTGTAGGGTTGCACTATGAATGAAATAATATCCATGATCATGATGGACTAACTAAACACGATTAGCTGCATTATTGAGATTTAAGGTGCTCTGCTCGTAGAAAAAACCCATCGAGATAAAATCACTGTGTTTTAATTTGGGTAATTGGGACATTGGTTTCAATTCTATAGTCTTGCTGGTAATGGCTGTGTTCGTGAAAATTACCGCTGCCCTGAAACAACTGGATTTATTAAGCCACAGGATCTGCACTCCCCTGGGCAGCTCCTTCACTGATTGCTACTGGTAAATGTTGAATCCATATATTATTTACCTCATGTCTGTAGTAAATGGAGCTCATAAAACAAACAGGTTTTAATACGTTAGCATCTTCAGAGGGTTATGTAACATCAACCTTTATTTGAGAGTTACTTGATGCTAATTTAGGGCTCATTTTCTAACCCAAAGTGGTAGATTAACAACGGGAGTAGGGACAGTTATGATCATAATAAAGCTTTTGCTTGTGACCAATAAAGTAGCACCACCACACTTCCTGTGTTCAATTACTCACTCTTCAGATTCAAGCAGTTTCAGTTAAAAGCAAACATCCTTTCGTCCTTCTACCAATTATAGTTTGGGCTTCTTTAATATCCTCCGTGGGTTTTTATAACTTTCCACTACTCCATCAAACCCTAAGTGTCCCTTGCAGAGAGGGGAAGTTCGTTTCCAGCTGTAATAGAATTACATCTCTGCGCTCTGGCCGAAGCCCCAGCCTTTGTTACGGCTAATCACAACTCGTTGCCTGAAGCCCACACACCACACTGCCGCTTTGTCTGACTTGAAATGTAAGCCCACTGGGTTGAAGTTGTGACTTATTTGTTACATGTTACAGGTTTGGTTTGAGAAACATGCTGCGGGTAAAAAGGTTTTTCACTGGTCCGAATCTTTGAAGGGATTCTCTCCCTCAGGCGTTGTTTCAGCAGAGCGAGGAGATGTGAACGCTGCTGTCCTCAGTTCACCGCTGAGGGAATTTAAAATGACTGAGGAGATCACTGCTAGACAAGTGTTTCTGTGTTGTAGAATCATCCCCTCTAACTTGTGTGTGTGTCTGCAGGAACTACCATGTGTTTTACTACCTGTTGGCTGGAGCCAGTGAAGAGGAGAGGAAGGCCTTCCACCTGCTCCAACCTGAGGAATACCACTACCTCAACCAGGTCCGCACATAAACACGCACACTCACACGATAATACAAACAGAAAAATAAATCTCTGAATAAATTCTCCCTGAAAATATTTAAATTCAGTAGCGTTATCTGCTAGATAATTACATTTTGGTAAAGAAAGGATCAGGATTTGAGTGAGAAATGCTTTTAGCTAAATTGGGAGGGTCTTGCTGAGGAAGCATTTATATTCATCTACATGTAAAGTAAATTCCTGTGTCATTGTGTTTTGCATGGTGAGCCAATGTCAGAGTGTGTTACAGCTATCTGTCTGACCTTTTAAATACATTTGTGTTGTGTACTTGGACATTTCTTTGTTCTTGTCACATTTTTACTCATTGTGGGCTCATTTTTCTCTGCCATGAAAAACTCCTGCACCTCTATGGAAACAATATAAGCATAGCTAGAAGTGGAGGGGACTCAGAGCTGTCTTTTGTGCAGTATGACACAGTTATAATGCCATAAATCTTAAAAAGAAATTATAGGGGTTGAATTTCTTTGAATATTTATTTGACAAAATATTAGAAACCTGGAATTGCCATGTACAACATTTTTACCAAGTGCCCGCAGGTGCTACAAATACAAGGAAAAAAATGGTGACTATAGATATTTTACTACATTTTCAACTTTTTTATATTTGTCTACTATCTGATCTAAGCGCTGCCTCAGTTCAGTCCAATTCAGCTGGAAAGTTGCTGAATTTTTCTCATGTGGCTGTTGATCAAAGTTGAGTCCCTAATAGCTTAAAAATCATCCTGACAAGTGCAGAATATTTTTGAGTTTTTACAGAATCTGTAGAGTATATATTTTTTCTGACTAATTTTTAAATGACACATGTAATACATTGGTTTTGATAAAATATCACGATTTTGTCTAGTCTTATTGTACACTTTTTTTTTTTTTTTTTTAAATCATTCAACAAAACTTAGACAGTCAGAGACACAAATATATTACACAGCCAGCCCAACTATTAGGTCCCAAAGTCTTAATAGTCCAGACAAGTGGTGAAACCTCACAGTGTAAATTGTTTCTTAGTCATTAGGTAAATGGAAAAAAGATACAAGACAATGGACAGTGTAGAAAGCTCAAAACTTCCTCAGTATTTTATTTGCTTTTCTAGACATTAATTCTCAAGTTGTTGTCTGTCTGTTGTAGGAACTTACCAGAGATGTGAAATTAACATGAGTTATTGAATAAAAAGCTCTTTTGATGATGTAGTGGCTGTACACTGTCATCCAGGAATGCAAAGAATTTAAAACATCTGATTTGTGATGTGAAAGAGACATTGTAAGCTTTCAATTTATGTCGATTTTTTGTCGAATAAAACTCTCCTCCTCTCCTCAAATGGTGAACATTCATCCCAGAAGCAACAAAAAGAACGAGGATTTATTGACAAATAAGGCACCTTGTAGAAAGATTGATGATGAAGATGCTGCTGCTGACGATGGACAATTTGACTGTCTGTCTTTCCTCCATCTGTCTCTGCTTGGTCCTGTGTACTCATTTATCATATATGGAGCTCGACTCAGTGCTCACAAGTGTTGACTGCATCAGCCCAGAAATTCAACTGTGCATCTGTGCGTGTCTGTGTGGATGTGTGCACGTGCCTTGGTGTGCACACATGCCAGTAGCACACATATGTGTGCATATTTTGCATTATGTGTGTGGGTGTGTGTGTGTGTGTGTGTGCTGGCAGCTGATGTGTGGACATTCATATTCCCGCTTCCTACAGCAATGCAAAGAGGAGGCAAAAAAAAACAAAACATTCTTTGTTCATCTCTCACTGCTACCCTAAAAAAGTAACATTCCCCCCCTCCCCTGTCCTCCCCGTCCTCCCTTAATCCCCACAACAACAACAACACCCCCCTCCTGCTGCCGGCTGCCTGTTACTATGCAGCTCTGTTTCCATGGCAACTGCAAAACTCAGGAGTCAATCTGGCGCTGACTTGGTCTCGTGCAGAGGGCGCCAGGAGCAGTCGCGTGTTTGTGTGCACACGTGTTTGTCTGAGCGCACCAGCACACACTCTTTACACAAGCTGTGTCACAAAGGACCACAATGATTATCCATATTTAGCTGTTCTCCCTCTCAGAGGAAGATATTGTTGCATGTGTGCATGTGCGTGTGTGTGTCTTTCTCTCAGTGGTGGATCGTAACTAACTACATTTACTCAAGTACTTTAAAGTTGTGATCCTTAAACCTTCAGTGCTGATATATGTCCAGAATCGCTCCCTATTGTGACCTACATTTACTGTAATTTTATTTGAGTATAAATTTGCATTTTGCCATCAATAGTATGCAAACAATCCCACAATGCATTGCGTCATATTTTATAGATGCCCAAATTACAGTTGCGCACCTTAACAAAGTGCAATTACTGGATTCTTAGTTGCCACCTTTTTATATTACTTGAACAACATTTTACAGGGAAATGTTACGCAGTAACTTTCTGATTATGATTTTACACAAAAGACAAAAGATGTGAACAAATGACAGCCCATTGGTACAAATATAAGTATCTGACAGGAGGGACTTGATTGGGATTTATGAGGAAGGGAAGCCAGACCAGACTGATAGCAGTAAAAAGAGGAAAGAGCCCATAAAGAAAATAGATCCATTGTACACATTGTGTTTAATGATGTCCAGACTAACCTGACTAATATACACTAAATTATAATTTAGCAATTTTTTTATTTATTATTACTTTTTTCAGTTTCTAGTTTTTTGAGTGACTGTTGTGAATTTTGCCTTTTCTTTGGGTATGAATAAATTTGAGGACACCTGTATTACTGTTATTTGCATTTAACTGATGTTTCTGGAAACACTGACATTGCTGCCATATATAAGAACAGACGTATCTTTGTACTGATCCAATTAAAGTACTTGCTGTACTTCGGATCGGATGACATAATGCTCCCAGTGATGCCACTGCTGCAGTTATTATTGCAATATTTAAAAAAAAAAAAAGTTGCTTCTCCAGAGGCAACTGCCCTTGAACTTTCTCTGAAATTAAAATAAAAACAAAAAACACTGGATTAGCACTAAGTACAACTGCTTTGTTGCCAGTAGTTACACTGTGAAACTTAAAAACATATGATCACTTTAATATGTCAGGAGAAGATGATTGAAGATACTGCTGCAGTACCATCCGCACAAATTTTGCACAGCCCTCCTCTCAGTTTGGAAACAGTATGACCACGCTGCTGTGTGATGCTGCAGCTTTTTAGCAAAGTCATAAAAAGAAAGACGCCATCACTGGGAGATAGACTCTGACGGTAGATTTCAAGATTTGTATGGAGCTCTCCGTAATAATGTAATATGATATAGTAACATAATGTGGAACAAGATAACAAAATGTTTGTTTGACTGCATAATACTTACCAACTTTTACTAAGTGAGATTTTTCGGTTGTGTTGCTGCTTGCGTAAAATGTCTGAAACACTTTTTTCCACCTATGCACTGTTTGTAGTCTAACAATAGAGATTATGCCACCATAAGCATGACATTTTTGTTGTGTTTGAGATTGTGTGGTTCTATCCAATGCCATCTCTCAATACGTCACCTTGTGGGTTTAATCACAGTGCCTCTGGGAATGTGTGTGTGTCTGTATTTGTGTGTGTGTGGTTTAGTCATTTTATCCTCACGTATTAACAGAATGTGTAATTTCTTTAATCATTTTAAGATTGTGTGTAATTCAAGCCTTGTTAACCCGCTTTGCCCTGCTTCCAGATGACAAAGAAATCGCACAAACTCCACTGGGACAATTACTATGAGAGTGAGCTGGTCAGTATTGTGTGGATGACAAGTTGTTTGTGTACGTCTGTGTTCATGGGTGTGCCGTGCTACATTGGGTTGTTGGTGCCAGTCTTGGTCTTGTTGTCTCTTGGCTGTCCACACCCGCCTGCTCTCAGTGAAATGGACTGAAGACGGAGCCAGCCTGGACTGACCTCAGCTGGTCATGCTCTGTGAAGAACTGCTTTGAAAATGTTTAAAGGGATTTACTGTTTGTTTTTGAGAAGAATTTTCTTCCTAAATAAAGTATCACACACTCAGCAGCTCATTCGTAATGGGGCATTTGAAAATTCTGACATTGAAGAAATGATTGGTGACGCTTTACTATTTCTTAAAAAGAGTCATCTCCTTGTAAATGAAGGATGGGATGTGCTGATTAACAAAACAGAATTTAAACAATAAGGAATCCCTTTAAACTCATGTTTGGCTTTTAGAAGCTTTGCTGCAGGGAAATGGGTGATTATGTCACACCTGGAAACTGCCATCTCTAAAGGGAAGGTTCAGGATTTCACTTTCACTGCTACATTTGCTTGTACGACCTGACTTTATTACTTGTCACTAAGACTAAATTACGACTACATGATGTAGGTGGTAAGGTGAGAGAGCGAGAGACCAGCATCAGACAGTGTTCTGTGAAATTCAGGAGCAGAAACAAGAGAGAATGTGAAATAAGTTTTGAACCTTGTGATCACCAAATATGTGTTGTTTTAGGCCAAATGACTACAGCAAAATTTTCGTTTTTTCACTGTAAGTCATACATATTTGGAAACGGCACAACCTTGACTAGAAGTAGAAAGATCAAAAAAATATATATTTTCTGCAATTAAACACTCATAATGCTATAAATAAAGTTAAAAAAAAGGAAGAAAAAGATCAAGAAAGTTACATTTTTTAAGATTTTGATGAAATATCACAATTTTAAGCTTAAATTTGGATTTTTTTCTGACTGAACAGCATGATGAATAATAAAGAGACTGACAGAAAGTTGAAAATACAACAATTCTTTCTGTATTTACAGTTTCTGGCTCTGATGAGTAGGATCATTTTAAGCACATTTTTAAAACGTAACACACCTTTCAAACCTGACGTCGAATTTTAGAGTTTAGAGAGTAACAACACCGATAGTGATACTGATATCACTGTGCACTCACAACAGAGAGCACGTAGACAGGTCTCAAAGTGAACAAACATGATAGATCCAACTGTATGGGGGCTTTATTGTAGCAAAACTATTTGTCCATGCGTGTATGGAGAGTTGTCTGTCTGTATCTCAATCCGTTCATCCGAAGGGAGATTTGTCAATGTGTAAAAGAAGTTGTCAGTGCGAACCGGAATCTGCAAAAGTGGTCACACAATTTGTCTGCACTCGACTCAAATACTTAGACTTTTCAACTACGAATACCTCTGTACGCATTGACAGCTCTTTGTACGCACTGACAGCTCTTATTATGTCCAACTTTTAATACAGATGAGCAGATTTTTTATACATTTGAAAACTTGATTACAGACAGACAAATTGGACAAATTGTGAGACGACTTTTGTAGATTCCGGTTTGCATTGACAACTTCTTTTACACATTGACAAATCTCACTTCGGACAAACGGATTGAGATACAGACAGACAACTCTCCATACGCGTGGACAAATAGTTTTGCTACAATAGTGCCCCCATACAACTGACACTAGTACGGATACTCTGAACAAGTCTTAGTATTTTAGTAGCAACACTTTAGGAATCATTGCACCAATGTTGAACGAGCATTTGTTGCTATTTTGTCAAGAACATGTAAGTTTCGAAATGACATGCAATCAGACAAGCCATTGCTTCCATATTCTGCAGTAGCATTAATGATACAGTCAGCAAAAAGAAAAGCAGCTAGTTACTAGTTTTGATAAAACATCCATACTGTGCATTCTATAAGATGCCTTCTGAAACAATCGGTAGGCTTCACATCCTGAAACTTCCCTCCAGATGTGCGGTCCATCTTATGTGTGTGTTTGCTGTTTCACTGGTCTTTGAGTCTGCTACTGTCTTGCCGGCCTCCACCTGAAGTGAGTAATGTTTGGTCAGTGGGATTTGTTGTGTATGTTTAAAGGGATTCAGTATCTCCTAATAGGAGATTATGTTACTTTGACTTTGCCAGCGAGCAAACACTTGACACGAGAGTCGGATAGTATAAACACAACTTGTGGCCTTACTATATTTCATTCTTGACCTTTGCTCTCTGTTGCTTTCTTTTTAAAACTGTATTTTAATCCATGTAAAGGTTCAGAGGACACCCGCTGCTTTTTTATTTTATTTTTTTATGCCACTTCAGCCATTTTCCACAATGATACAGTTAAAAAGTCAAAGTCAAATAGTCGCCTGCTGCATTCTTAGCCCTAATAAACTGTAGTCATTTTGGGTTCCCAGTAGTTTTGGTGGTCACATGGCATTAAGGCCAAAATTGATCTTGTATCAGAACCTCTTTGGAGGTTGTTCAGATCACTCCTGCAGAATTATCTTGGCCTCAGTATATTGGAGAAATTAGAATTGTTTGGAAAAAAGTGAACGTGTTCTGCAGCAGGAGTGGTTTGAGAAATTTCTTAGAATCTTTATGATTTTTTAATTTTTTAATTTTTTTGCCTTAACCCTGGGATGCCATTAGACATAAATGTACCTGTTGTGAATCCACTAAAGATTTCTCATAATTTTCCATCATGTTGAACTATTAGACTTCAAGGCATATTTGGATGCCTCTCTCTCTTTTTACACAACCGTCCCTTCTCACTGTTTGCTGACACACTGTCTTTGTCTCAAGGGTCAGTCAATGACCTCATCAGTCTGTGACCCTCCTGTCCAAGGAGATGATGTCACTGTCTTCACACACACAACACACACACTCACAGAAACTCAGCAACCTTTGACAGCTGTCTGAGCATCTGACCAAACCCTCTGGGCCTGTTTAACCTCTGACCTCTACTGCTGGTCAACGTGCAGTAAATAGAGACGCCCAACACTTTAAACACTGACGAGTGTATACAGATTCCAGATGCAGCGTCTGGAACTAAAAATAGCAAATAAACAAATGTGAATACAAAAGGGGAGTATTTCACTCAAGATCCCAAAGACCAAACATTTTGCGGATGTTTGCATTTGATGTGTGTAGTCGGGTGTTTGGTTCTGGGCCTCGGTGGCTGTGGGTTTGCATTTTGTGCTTGTTTGGGTGTCTATGGTTTTGGTTGTGTGGAATGTCTACTGACGGGGTGGCATGCTGTTTTTGGCACACAATCGACCGGGTGCCTCAATGACATAAATCATGACTCAGTCATAGTGAGAAACAGGAAAAAAAAAACTCAACTTGGATACACATAACTGTTAACAGCATCTGTGAATGATCTGTTAAAAAGCTCCATGTGCACAGTCAGATGGGCTTTACTGAATTTAGTTTAGGCTTCCACCAGAAGTGTTGCACCTGGCATAAAGTTCAAATCTCAATTTCTGAAGTGAGAAAAGACTCTTTGCTTAACATAAGTAAGAAGAACAGATTGTTTCCTAATCATCCCTTTACTGCATTCAGAATCCCTTGTTCTTTCTATTTTTTCTAAGTACCAACAGCAAAGGTTTAGGTTTTCAACCAAAGTATTCCCTTGCAACTGCCCAAATTGATCTCTTTATTTACTCAACATCCTTCAACGTATCACATTGTGCTGTTTGGCACTGAGGTCGAACATACCCAGCAATTTGGAAACTGGCCTTTCCCGGGTCTCGCCATAGTTCGAGAAGCCTCAAAACCCTTTTGTTGCAATTGGAGAAGCTGACTGGAGAAATACACTGATTGTTGGCTCTGCAGTTCCTGACAAGTTATAAGCCAAAGGAAAACAATGGAGAGGCAGAGGAGTGTTGAATGTTAAAGTGTGGAAGAGGCAGATCCAGAGTGTGGATTATGGGTTCCTGTGTCTTCTCTCACTGGCCGGTCGCTGTGGTATGTGCTAATTACAGCCTTTGAGAGGCTCGCTGCTGGAACAGAGACATGCTGACCGACCGGAGGGCCTGAGGAGACACACAATCCCTGTACACATCCTCACACTCTCACTCCTTTACTGAACATCAGTGCTCATTGTTTAGTATCTCAGTCATGGCAGCACTCATCCATTTTGAAGCTCACTAACAAACACTGTACGATATCAGTGTCTCATGATTACACAGGAATGTAGTTGTGTTCGCTTAGAAGGGTTTCCCTCAGTTAGCAGAGGTGGTCTCTTGAAATAGACTGGGAACATTATGTTTTGATTGACATTCTGAAATGCTGCTTTAATGTATTCCTTCCAAGGGGTTTGATTGATTAATCACTGTCATTTGCTGAGCTGCCTCAGACAATATGTTGTTTTCTATGCTGAGTTTAGTTTTAAACTAGTAAATGTGTGGCGTTTGTTATGAGTGGTGCAGCCTACTGACCCTGAACTGAGGTGTAGACTCGAGCTGTGAATCTGATAGAGTTCAAAAAGACTTGGAGCTTGACTTTTTCTTCAACTTGGACTTTTAGGATGTGGGTCCATTCAGTGTTTTTTGCTGGCAGATGAGCGTTTCATCCCAACGCTTCATCAAAAGTGTGCTGGCATGAAGCATGTGGCTTTTGTTTCTGTGACAACTATATTTTGACAACCTATCACCAATTTAACTGCTGTTGTATGATAGACTAGCATCATCTCTTGTCATGATACTTTCCTCTCCTGATGGGGAACAACTGAAAAGAATATGCAGAAGCTGAGAGATATTCTATGATGTTGTGGACACTCAGGCTTAAGCTTTAGATTTAGAACAACTCAACAGAAAATGACATTATAAAGGAAGGAAATCTGCTCTGTTTTTTTCACCACTCCAACAACCACGCCTTAACCAGGACAGAAGCAGAAAGGTGCATTCATACATGCTCGCTAGCACTTCATCACAAGAAGACACATTTATTAAAATAAAATTTATAAAAAATCTAAGAAATTAAACAACTGGCATTAAATCTGAAAAAAATAAAATTTATAAAAAATCTAAGAAATTAAACAACTGGCATTAAATCTGAGGTATGGACTACAAAGCAAGTCCAACATACCCAGCAGGTCTTTTTGTTATCTGGCTTCAATAAACCTAACAGTCACAGTCACACTAAAAAGTCACACGAAGTCCTCATGTAATCAGGTAAGAACTGAATCGTCGTCGTAGTCCTGAAAAGTTACCTCAATAACCACAAATCCTGCATCATCTTATAGATCTTAGTTGATGACTTGTCTGGGATTTGTTATTTTTGACTTAATGCATAATCCCACTTATTGGGAGTCTTTGCCAAACGTTGCCAAAGTGGCCCATCTTGGTTTTGAAATATCATGGGAAACCCTGCTTAGTCACAGTCATTCTAGCGCCTGACGGTCACTTTTACAGCCATCCGTTTCACATAGAATTGTGTCTTTTGTTAAACTGGTGTGCTGTATAATCCTTAAAACATTCCTTTGCGATGCTGATGTCTCTCTCTGTCTTTGTGTTTCCACCTGACACCAGCAGGACTGCTTCACAGTAGAAGGAGAAGACCTGAAACATGACTTTGAGCGGCTGCAGCTGGCTATGGAGATGGTTGGCTTCCTACCCACGACACGCAAACAGTAAGATTAGCTGCATTATGTATCCAGCTGTTTTACAAAAGATTACAGAAACACAACCCCACAGTCTGTCGGATCACAGACTTCTAAATAGACTAAATTTAGATAAATTTAGATTAAATTTTAGAAATATATTATCCACACAGTAGTATTTAATGTACAAAATAGTTAAACAAACTAAGCACTCTGTCAGTACTCACACTCTTCATGTGATTTTCTTCTCACAAAACATTTCAATTTCAGGGATTTCTCACATGCTGTTGTGCTTTTTAACATACAAACATAAGAGCTGTAGCTTCTCTTCTTAATATTGGCAAGAAATCATATGTTTACCCAAATGTCAAACTATTACTTTAAATCTTTATATTTTTAAGAAGAGAAGCAGAGTCCCTGGGTCACTACTCTCAATTTCAAATTCTATGAGTAAACAGGCATTATTCAGGACGTTTTGTAAAGCTAGGTTCTTGGAAATGCATGACATTAGAAGTAATATCCCTTTCACTTTCTATCCACTGCAAATTTTGGTTTCAACTGGTTGTAATACAGAGCCTATCCAATTGCAGACATGTCATACAGTGTAATCATGCAAGGTTTTCTGGCCAAAGACCACTAAGCATAAAAAATCCTTCCATACATTATAAAGCCTGTTCAGTAACACAGTGGAATAATAACAATACATGCCTTTCTTGCTCTTTAGGATTTTCTCCCTGCTGTCAGCAATCCTCCACCTGGGAAACATCCGTTACAAGAAGAAGACCTACAGAGATGATTCCATTGACATCTGTAACCCAGAGGTCCTGCCCATCGTCTCAGAGCTGCTCGAGGTGAGCAGCATGGTGCAGATCATACTCACTTTCACCAACAGTCTTTAAGTTCACTTATCAGGCATTAGTATAAAGTTTAAATCTACAAGTTTCACAGACCTGTGTAAGGCAAAATTTTAGCATCTGAAAATCTACTGTATAATCCCACATTGACATGTCTGAGTCAAAACATGCTGTGCTACTGGTCTTGCTGGCTTTATGCTGAAATGCACTACTCTGCTATAGTTTGAAGGACAATAAAAATGAGGAATGGAGAAGGGCTTTACCACAGGGCTTGTTTATTCTCCCTAAATTCTTGCTTTGCCATTTTGTCTCCTGAAGTTATCACATGCCCACTAGAGATCCTTATAACTCCATGGACTTAGTGAACTTTAAAAAACAAGCAACATCCATTGGAGCGAATATGTTTTCCCTCTACTCTGTATTTTTCAACGCTGTGAGAAAATGCAATTCCTGTTGCCAGAGTTCACTTCTCACATGTGGGTTTTACAAAAAGGCTTTTAGAGAGCTGAGGACTCTCTGCATTCAAGCACAGCTTGTGGTGACAGCGGAAGTTAAGAGGTGCTTCAGGTCCCAAAGAGCTGTCCAACCATCCAGTAGTTCCACAAAGTACTGTTTGTGTAGAGGCTATTTTCAGAGCTCTTGTGCTGGTGTGCTGTTGCGGAGGCGTGCTTTCCCACCAGGAAAAATTAGTCTCTGTATTTGTCCCGGTGTCACCTGTATCATTAAATCATCTTTAAATCATTACAGGAGCTTCAACATAACATGGTCATTGTGATTCTGTTATTTGTTACTTGCTTGTCAGCGACTATTTTGGTCTGTAATTTTGAGATGAAATGTTTTTTGCAAAGTTCTGCACATTTTCTTGTCACTTATGGAGGCTTGTTGGATGATCAATTCTTATCACATTCTTTCTGCTACATTACAATCAGCACTTGTCTAATTGCATATTTGAAAGCAGATTATTTTGTCTCTGAAAACAATGTTCATGAAAAGTCATCCAACTTCTGGTTTCAGCCACTATATTATAGTTTAATTGTAGAAGTAAACCTGCCTCAGGCCAGTAATGGACTACAGTATTATATTGCTCCTCGTTGCCTTATTTAGTTAATTAATTGTCTTGTATTTTTATGGCCTCACTTCTGTTTTTGATCATGAGACAAACACGTGCTGACAGGCTGTTCTTTGAAAAAGTCATAGAGGAGCGCTTTTATTTAAGTAAACCTGCTGTTACCTCATTGTAAAATTACTACAACAAATTCCCTCCATTTTCTATACACCGCTTAATCCTCATTAGGGTCGCGGGGGGACTGGAGCCTATCCCAGCCGACTTAGGGCGAAGGCAAGGGACACCCTGGACAGGTCGCCAGTCTGTCGCAGGGCTACACTTAGAGACAGACAACCAAGCACACTCACATTCACACCTATGGACAATTTAGAAACACCAATTAACCTCAACATGTTTTTGGCCTGTGTGGGAGGAAGCCGAAGAACCCAGAGAGAACCCACGCTGCACGGGGAGAACATGCAAACTCCACGCAGAAAGATTCCGGTGCCCCCACCGGGACACGAACCGGCAACCTTCTTGCTGCGAGGCAACAGTGCTAACTACTGCGCCACCTTGCAGCCCACTACAACAAATTAATGTTTATATTTATTTTTACCTGACATAAGTAGAAAACAGAAGTTTAATCAACACAATGTAGTTGTAGAGAAGAAAAACATTAATTAGGTGGCAGAATGACTGGTTAATGTAAAGAACTACTTTACAGTAACAGTGGATTATACTTTATTGGTTGATCATGTGTTTTTTCCATAACATCCGTTTTTGGTTGTTGTTGTTTTTTTTGAAATAGCTATGTCTGTCAAATAAATGTAGTTAGAAAGTTAGAAATGACATATTTTTCTGTAAAATGTAGTAAAGTAGAAGTACAAAGTAGTATAAAATGGAAATACTCCACTAAAATACAATACTTAGTGAATGCACTGTGTAGAAAAACTTGATCTATGCAGTATTATTCCAACCACAGTCTAGTCAACATTTTAAATATCCAGCTAATCAGGTTTAGACTACTGCAAACTCTGTCTGTTCACAGGAAGCAGAGAGACAAAGAAAAACATTTTCTGGCAGGGCTTGACGTGCCACGCATTGTTTACAAGTTTATGATATTGTGCTGCATTTTTGTTCATTCCTGACACTGAGCACAGACCACACACACGCACTCCGCTGCGTGCACAGCGAGCACAGCTCAAACATCCACATGCTGTTCTGATTTACCTCGGGACTGAGGGACGGTGTCACTCCCCAGTCCCTGTTACAAACTACGACGATTGGCCGGATGTGCTTGTTGAGTCGCTGACAAAACAATGTCCGAAGTGTGCCGGAGACTCCTGTCAACAGCACAGCGGGGATGTTATGACTGTGGAGAGCATGCCAGGGTTCCCCTTTAACACTGCACTGGTCTCTTTGACTCTCCAGAGCTCCAGAGTGGCAGTGACGTGAGTCGAGCCACATGTTGGCCACATGCTCAAGGGTCAGTGTTTTAAGTTCAAGTTTATTTGGATGTCTGTTAGTTGGTGCAGAGGCAAGGGCTATTTGTCCCCTGGGGCATATAAAACATTCTTAAAGCAAAGATGAAGAAAGAAGAAAAAGCCAAACCACAGAGTAATGAATTTTAAAAAAGTCACAATGAATCTGTGTTTTGACAGCATCATAAGTCTTCAATTTGCACACATTCCTGCTGGGACACAATGTTTTGATGGGACAAGAGAGAGGTCAGCTAATGGGAGTATGATTTTTTTTATGGGAGGAGTGATGCGGATGGACAGATAATTGAAAAAATGTGATGGTTTTACAAGTTTTTTGAAGTAAAATAGTGTTAAAGAATTTTTAAGAATTTCTTCCTTTTCAAAGATTTATTGTCTAATATTTAACAAAGTAAATATTTGGGCATCGGAAACTAACTGCCAAGATACAAAAGTTGCCATTCACTATCTATGACATGACAACTGTATATTTACTGTGATTTACACTTGAAGCACCTGTGAATTACTGCTAAAATTCATTTTGAGTGATGAAGGTTTGTGTAAGATGTAGAATTAATTTGACTAAAAGGTTTATTTTTGTGCAATGCCTAGTTTGCAAACTTAAGATATGTGTCTCCTTGGCTCTTTCTCAAACATCAACAATGAAATAAGAAATAGTTCTCTGGAGTCACAGTTTCATTCTTGCTAGTGTTGCTTTACTGTTGTTGGTTTTGCACATCTTACAATCGGCACTGCAAAGAGGAAAAGCATTTTTTATTTAATCATGTTTTGTCTTGAGTTTATGTACAGGTTAAAAAGAATCGTGAATTACACAACAGCGTATCTGTGTATAAACCAGACAGGCACTGTTAGAAACTACTCCTAGAATTTAGAGATGGTGCTTGACTTGATCTAGGACAACTTGCACAAGAGATGAAATGGTTAAATATGTGATTGAGGTTTGCTCAGTGCAGTTTTATGTTCAGTCGTGCAAGGCTGGAATCGTTTCAATGGAGAGTTCAGCCAAAGTGAACACACTGGCTCTGAACGAAGCACTAATCTGCATGAATAACCAACGTTTGATATGTAAAGTGGTTCTACATTTCGGACAGGATGAGATGCGAACCACTGCACTCAGTGCTGCTGTGGTACACTGATGCGGAGCACCTCTCAAGGAGAACCGAGTGTGGATTGATGCATGAATGGGAATGAAATTGGCTGGGCCTTCCTGTTTCCCGTAGAGGTGGAACTGGAAGAGGAAGTAGAGCTCGTATGGGCTGATGGACGGCTGACAGACTGGATCCTCAGAGATTTGGAGTTGAGTGATTTGACCCAGCCAGAAACATTTTGGTGCAAACTGGAAATCAGTCCAGGGAGAGCAGCGTTGTGTGAGAATGGATCCCTTTAAAGATGGAATTTGTTGAGGGTACTTTGATTCCAAAAACTGTGTGAATGTCAAATTAGTTTATTAGTTATTTTGGAGTAGGAGGCAAAGAATGACATTAAAAAAAAAATTAAAAAAAAAGTGTAATTACTGCCTCTTCTATTATTGAATATCGAATCCATTTGGCAGTTGACCTTAACATCAAGATATGAAGCTTGACAGTGTGTGATAAAACAAGTGACCCAACTGACCAGTTTCAAGCACTACTGCCTTTATTGCATAGTCGCCATTTGGACACAAATTTTGGGCACATCAGAGGGCTACACAAAGACACTTGTGCAGATGATAAAGTTTATGTCACTCACACCTTAACGCACCTTCACATATTCACGGATGCTGAACATATAAAACTAACTTTAAACCTCTGTACAGGAACAACCGTGGGTACTGTTTGGCTTTCAGGCTTTTTACACAGTTTTTAATCCAGTCCAGACATTTTTTCAGGTTTGAAAATGTAATGAAAACAATCAGGACACACTTTAAAACTTTCCCCCAGTAACATTGTTTGACCATCTTCTAAGCATCTGTGTACTTTGAATGATGTAGCAGATATGTGAGGACACGTAAGCTGAATCATTAGACTATAAAGGTTGTCAGAGTTGGTTCATGGCTGCAACTGAGAATAAGTAATGTTCAGATCAGTCAGATTGGTGCATCTGTCAAACCTAAGATCTCGCTCATGTTTAAGGTGTTAAAAAACATTGGTATAAAATCACTGACCCCAAACGAGTGCTTACAAACTTCTGTGTATTATTATGGTGTTAAAGCTGTGATCATAGCAGAGCAGCAAGCCTGTTACCAAGCAACTAATACATGGAAATGTACCGGCTAAAGACCAATCACCAGCCTACAGAATAGGCTTTGCTCTTAGTGGAGGGATTACCAGGCGGTGTGAAATAAAGTCTGATTATGCCACCCCCCACCGACCCACTCACTGCACACACACACGTACACGCACGTGTGCAATGCTCCTCCTGTCTTCCTTCCTCTGTTTAAGTCAAAGCCTTTACAAGCAAGGCAACTGACAAAAATATCTCTATAATGGTATTAACTATAGCATTACCACAGTTGTTTTTCTTACATGAAGACATCAGGCAGCCACACAAAGCTCACACATGTAGACACACATACACACGTGGGCTCAGCAGCAGCTGTTTGGTCCGCTCCCATAATCCCTGCAGATGGAATAGATGTGCGTGGTGAAATCCCAGTTCTCCCAGTGTGACCCTGTCATCAGTGGTTTGTCTGGGGCCAAGTTTAGAGTCAGACTTACATGGAAGGCAGCATAGTTTGGTACTGTATGTATGTGCACAGTGTTTACGGGCTAATCTTGGACACCTATGTCAGTTTGAAGCAGCAGGAACATTCACAGCTTTGAAGGGAGTAAAGGTCAGTTAGATGGCTGCAAATGGAAAGAATCTTATGTCATGGTTATGGTGCATTTTATGTTACATACACCACTACAAAGTTGACTCAAATTTGACTCGTGAATTACGTAGCTAATAAATTGGCGTACTTTATCATGTTGATACAAAAATACTAATTTAATATTAAAAAACAGCACTTATTGATTTGCAGCGTTTCCAGCAATGGAGTAGTTACAATTACCAGCATTCAGTAAATAGTGATCTTTATAGAAACAGCATAGAAAACTGTCAACATGTAAACAGATCTGTATAGTCTAGTTTTATTCAGTCTGTTCTCATTAACTGAAATGCAAACAAAACTCAACCACATTTCTGCTTGTTCTCATGCTCTGGCAAAATATTTTGTGCAGAAACAGGTATTTATCAGTAAAAGACGTTAACCATAGATTGCATGCATAAGATAGATGGAGCCTCCAGGTCTGAAAAGTGAAGCCGACGCAAAAGTGACTTAGACCTGTATTCTATTACCTGTACTGTATTCTTTACCTGTATTAAGAAAATGAATTTACTTCTCGATTAATTTGTCACCTTGGGAAACATTTTCATAATGAGTTTGTGGTCTTAACTGCTAGTCTCCAGATTTGTTTGATACAACATGGTGTTCATTTAGTAAATTAAAGTCCTATTTCGAGGGAAATAGATGATAAAGCAGGGTATGTTTTAGGGTGGGGCTACCTTGTGATTGACAGGTTGCGTCTGTATCGCCGTGGGCAGTGTTCTTGAGTTCTTTCGTCAGATCCAACCCTTACTTGTGAAATCTAGTTTCAAAAGACTAAGCTAGCAATGCCAAAATTCTAACCTTAAGGCTTCAAAATAGTAATCCATAAACAAGTTTCAGTTTGACCAGTTCTTTTCAATCTGTCTCTTGGAATTCCCCCAGCTTTACTAAATTGCAGGAAAACACCTTTATAAAACGCTTTCCTGAGATGTTATTGGTCTTGACCATTACTGCATTGGACCCCCTCTGCCAATGTTGCTTTTACTGTCCAAATCAAGACGATGTCTCCTTGGCCCATAGACTTGGTCCTGATCTTGTCCTTTTTCTTAACTTTTTTTTGTTATTGTTTTCCAGGTGAAAGAGGAGATGCTGCTTGAAGCACTGACAACCAGGAAGACAGTGACCGTTGGAGAGAGGCTCATTGTGCCCTACAAGCTAGCCGAGGTAACTACACTATCAACACACCACATCACGACACCTACCCACCTTTGTCCCCAAACACATGGGGCACATTTCAATATACATACCTACATACGATACAGTTTGGTAGAAAAAGATTTAGTTTGTCCCAGTATATAGCAGGTAGGAGGCCAAAAATGCCCATAGGTCCGACTACAATCAGTGAGACTTTGCCGTATGCAAGTCAGCATGTTTTCCTGGCCCCCAATCTTCTTTGCACATATGTACGATGTCTTGTGTGAGTATAAACAAGCTGTAGCCGGCAAAAGCACACAGACTGATAAAAGCTCCTTTCGCACGATTGGACTACAACGGTCAAAGGTTAAAGCACATTATTACGACAAAGTCATATGTCCTAATTGTATGCTTACTGCCTGAAACAGTGCATACTTTGTAAAGGCAGCTGTAGCATGTACTAAATGTTAAAAGCAAAAAGTATGTGAAATAGCAAAACTAGTAAGCCTCCTGTGACTTTATCTGCTCCTTTATTAGCACTACACGTTAAATGAAACCAGGAAGACGTTAAAAATAGAGACATTCTTCACACAAATTCCAGTCCGTATTAAGAAAGCACAGTGGAGCCAAGCGTTTTGTTATGAGGTGCGTCAGCTGTAGGGGAGATTCTGTGTTTGTGTGTGCATGCTGCTTAGCTTGTCTGGGGAGTTTGTTGTGGCATTCCCCCCCGCCCGCACCACTCCGGTCTAAGTCTCTTTTGATAGGGGTCTCTTCCTCTGCAACTTCCTGTTTCCTGTTGAGTCAAGCCACAGTGGTATGACTTAACCCTGTCCACACAACCCTCCAGACATACAGTATGCCAAATTTTTGTTTAGGATGCTTTGGCTGACCTAGATAGACTCCAATGAAGTACATCTTAGTGCTACTGAATGTTAATAGTGTTTTTTGTTTGTCTCTCTGGCGGCTCTGTGTGTGGCTGATTTTGTTCAAGCTCTGTGCTTGTGGCTGCAGGGTCTGTTGTCTGAGGAAGGAAATGCTACACATAGATAGTCTGTTACCCTGCTCAGCTCCACCTCCTCATCTGATCTACGGGTTAATTTAGCCCAACAATGGTTGCTCCCACTCTCCCACACCCCCGTAGCTCCAGTCATGTGGTCTTGTCTTAGGAATGTGCAACCTTCACTGGAATATACAGTACAGAGGCCAGAAACCAGATCCTGGTTCAGTCTGTTTGTCTCTCTTTCCTTCAGTCACACATGCTTCAGAAACATAAATTCGCTTTTTCTAGACTTTCTGTGTAACAGAGGCGCAGACAATGTGATCAAAAATCTAATCCTGGATGAGAGCTGCAGCTATGATAAACCTCGTCCTGTGGCTACTGGTGTTGCACCTTGAAAGTTCCCCCATGCCCCTCTTGACATGGGCTTATCTAAAAAGGAGCAAGAGGTGAAATGATATACAAGGATCCCCAAAAGTTTGTCCGAGGAATAGAATAGAGCTGTGGGAAATCCACAGTTGTATAGTCAGAGAGGAAAACAGTGTCATGTATAACCTGCTACTGCAGCGTGCTGTATGTCAAAGCCAAGCTTATTTACACTCAGGACTTGGGGAGTAATAGAGCAATGTTTATGTGAGTGTGCCCTGATGTGTTTTCTGTCAGGCAAAGTACATATAGAATACAGGAAAATTTTCACATCCAGCCATTGGTTTCATACTGTTTTGCTATTATTTTTTAATTTTTAAAAACGTTTTTTTGGCCTTTGGTGCCTTTATTGTAGGTAAGGGGAGACAGACAGGAAATGTAAGGAGAAGAGTGGGGAAGGACTTGCAGCAAATGAGCCTTGGGTCAGACTTGATTCAGACTGGGACTTTGTACATGGGTCGCCTGCTCAACCTCTTGAGCTACTGGGGTGCCCTGTTTTGCTGAGTTTACTGAAAAACACAGTGTTGCAAATGTTTAACTGAATTCACAATGAGTGTCGGTGAGAGTTCATAGAAATACAATTTTTAAAAATTTGTTCTAATCTATTTCTCTGAACCCTGTTTCACATTCCGCATTTCACTGCCAGTCTTAACAATCATAACTATGAGCCAATCCCAAAACAATAACATAACTCATAACCTAAGCTACGCACAAGAACAGACCAAAATGCTCTTGCATCTCTTAGGACCTTACATTCAAATTGTTGTAGGATATACAAGAGCGCGCACGCACGCGCACACACACACACACACACCATAGTAGAGAAAGTGAAGCCCTGCCCTGATCTGACTGAGGGCCGTGGGAGCAAGCCGAGGCCACCTGTGGAATCCATAACACGCCTGTTTTTATACAAAGGAAATGTGGAAAAAAGAACCTGGCAAATGTTGTTCATTCTTCTCAGAAATGATTTCTTCCTACTTGGATAAGAAAGGTTGAATAAGTGTGCTAGGCAGCTGTCCCACCCGCCCACAGTCAAGATGAGGAGATTCAAACGAGACGTCTGACCTGCTAAAGCTCACTGTGCTGCAGAGCAGAAGCTGGCTGTCTTTAACTTTGGCCAGGAAGATCCCTAAATTGATTGCATGGTCTCTGGTTGAGTCAGGTGTAAGACCTTTATGAACAGCTTGGATTAAGTCTAAGAGTAATAATGAGAGTAAAAGTCATTTCCTATTTAGACAGGGAAATTGTGTTTGGCAATCTTGTGGCTTTGTTACTAGTCTTCGGTGTTGCTCAAGGACAGTAATAAAAGTCCCTCAGTGGTTCAGCTGAGTGTGAAATGAAAATGCAACATTTTAGTTTTTAATCCAGCTTTTGATCCTTTTGACACTTACCCTAATTTTGCCATCTTGTTTTGCTTCTCACAGCTCACTCAGCCAAGACAGGGTTTACACAGATCCTTAAGTTAAAATACAAACATTTCCCATTGAACTGCTTCCCTGCTGCTTGTATTTTGTTTTTTAGTAAATACCCTCTCCAATAAAAGTCAAGCCTTTTGCCTTGTTGACATGTCTCCATATGGTGTTATTTACATGCTAGAAGTCTAGAATCATTTGCTGTGTACTGAAGACAGTCTCAAAAACACAGATTTAGACTTCCACGGTTTTATGCCTAAGAAACCACTTTCCATGTCATTAGTCTTATTGACATTCTGTTTCTGGTTCTGAAATATATTGCAGTGTTTGAACAGAGTCCTAGGTGAGCTGCTGTGCTTGACCTGCAGCAAGCAGCAGAAAAATGGGTGGAGAATGAGATGGGAATACCAGATTTGCACATGCTAAATAAGGCAAAGGTATACAGTCACATATAATTTGTTTTCAGGCACAAAAAAATAGTAGAAAAAAAACATGTAAATATGAAATTTTGATAAAGATGAATTTTTAAGGGTTTTATCAACTATCCAAAGAGGGAGTTTAAGGCACACACATCTTCTAACATGTCTGAAGGGTTTGTTTAACAAACAATGAAGACGTTTACAGTGTGTTGACTTGTATTATGTCCTGATCTCTGAACAAACGACAAGTCTAACCTCACTTCAGAAACAGCAACTATCAAGTCACTACTGATAGCGTTGATTCACTCGACTATACTCAGTGCAAATAGTCCCGACTTCTATTTGAGTTTTTTTGGGTTTAGACAGTCTGACTTGGAGAAGTGAAAGAATGAGTGTGTGCAGCTGTGAGGTCATGATTGCGTGCATGTGTGTGTCTGTACACACATGTGTGTCCATGTCTGTCAAGATAAGGCAGGCTGTTTGACTTTGACATTTGTGATGTGGCTCCAGATAATGTGACTCCACCACTTCCTTCTTCCTGTTTGAAAGACAGACACAGGGAAGGGGAAGTGTATGTATGCATGTGTGTGTGTGTGTGTGTGTGTGTGTGTGTGTGTGTGTGTGTGTGGGTGGGGGGGCACACACAGAGAGTCATTCAAATGCTTTCCATTCATTTAAGAAGCGCCACTTCATATTAGTTTCATAGTGGTTGAAGCCTCGTGGTGAGAATGTACAGATGCTTCTCTATTGCGAGGAGACTGTAAAATAGATCACAAGCACTTAACATATATGGACACGCGTAAATACATGCAGGCATTGAGATAGACAACAAGTACATAAATGCTAATTCCAAACATATGCAGATTGGCATATTGGGGTGAAACACACACATGCACAAAAGATCCTGCAGTGAGGAAGCTCGTAGGCCACGTGCAGCGTGAATTCATGCTGCTGTTTCACACCTCCTGTGGTTTTCAAGAGGAGGAACGAGAGAAAGAAATGGAAACAGAGAGAACAACTTCCCCTCCCAGAGCCTTGTAAACACACACCAGCTAAGACCCAGTTTAACAGCCAGAACCGTTACAGTTTACAAAAGTCTCTGATAAAGTCCTGCTAATTATTTAGTCAGTTTCTTGGGTGGCCCTCCAGTAAAACATTTTCAGCCTATTTTCTCCCAGCCGTGCTCCCTCCTCGTTCCTAACTGCTTCCATTATGGTGAATAATTAAATTACATGGCAAAACACAGAGACGATGCACGCTCAGTGGCCACGTGAAATGTTCACATCAGATCCGCCTGTCTTGAGCTCCTGCTGAAGCATTTAAATCATGATTCTTTTTGAAACATTGTATTATTCATATCAACCTTACGTAAGTTTGTGGGAGCAGGGGCATCACAGGCCTGCCAGCTAAAAATATCATCAACAATCAATAATGCAAGAGTGAAGAGGCAGCTTTTAAAAATGCACAGTTATGCTTCATCACGGCAGTTGACTGCATGTTCCCTCAGTAGGCAGCTTTTGTAGGAGGCCTTCAAAGTAAGTGCATCTGCACCGGAGCGTGATCGTGTTCCCAGTGTGCCACAAAGGCCTGGGAAAGAGTTACAATACTGGTTGTTGTTGTTAAACAAGGAACTCTAGACATGCACATTGTTTCAAAAAAATTGAGGCCAATTGCTTCTTAATTGGGTTCATTAAATTTTATGTTGGTGAGTGTTTTTTTTGTTGTTTTTTTTTCCATTTTTCTCAAAGTTCCTGTCCCTGACTTCAGTGGTTCCCTGATTAGTGAAGCAGTAGCTACTTTGCTAATGCCATCCATTAAAAACACCAACAGAACAGTGACGACAGCGTGGCATTATTTATTAGCTAAACCTAGAACATCCTAAATTGCAGCCTTTGCAATTGCATTGTTTCAGATTTTCAGAGTTTGATTTGAAATTGATTAATTGCTGAGCCCTACTGACAGCTAGTTTATTGAAAAGGTGCAGTTCAAATCTTGTGTTTGTAAAACGCAGTATGACTTTGCACTTTTTCACTCTGGAGGTTGCCACAGATCGATAAGTTTAAATAATAATGTTTAATAATTGATCAGATTTATGTAGTGCTTTTCTAGGCACTCAAAGATGCTTTACACTGTCAATTATTCATTCACACACATTCAGTGGTGATTCTAGGTTTTAATTTTAGGGGGGATCAATAGGGGGCCAATGCTATATTCTGGGGGGCACCCAATAACTGCGTTATTCATAGATGTAGCCTACAGCAGTTTCTCGAGGTGTTCTTTACTTGTACTCACATTGTATGGCTAAATATAGACCTAACCTAATTAAATAGATCTAACAAAATAAACATGATCTGGAAAAAGTTTCTGGTCAAAAAATACTTGTACAATATGGAATGTACAATAATTGCTTCTTTCAAAGGCAACTCATGACACTCAGACTGATTCACAGTGAAGACTCATGTTAGTAACAGCCTGATGGGTCAAGGCACATTAAAATGATACATACATGTAAATACACACATAAACACAATGCTCTCCTCTTTTATATTAACAATGTTGTTCTTCATTTGCTCTGAGGAATGTCTGTCTGTCCTGCTCTGCCTTTCACCTGATGCTGATGATGGGCTCCAGCTGCTGGACTGGTCCTGCTTTGGATGTCTGTCCTCAGAACTGTTCCCTTGAACCGGTCTGGTTCCTTGGTCTGACCCTCACAGGGCTTTTTCTTAACTCTATTCAGGACTTTTGGGGTCTTTTGGACCCCAGGCCATTTGGTTTAGGTGACAGGTATTGTTTTTTGATTTTAAAGATTTGATTTTTAAATATAAAAAGAGGGGCATGTGTCATGCATTTGGAGCCAGAAATATGTCAACTTATCAGAAAATGTATTTAACATCATGTATAAAAGCCTATAATGAATATCAACATTTTTTTTTTTGTACATAATCTTTCTTGGGGTCCAATGAACCCTGAAAGATCTACGTATGGCAACATGAAAGTCCTGAATAAGGTTAAGATGACTAACCATGCTGGTTGTGTCTCTTTTATGACATTTCTGAGCCCTGCTGCTGCTGGAAGAGAGACTAAATGACACCATTCAGTTGTAACTCAAACTTGGGATTGGGAATGCCCTGGCTGCTTCCAAAACATCTCTGTGTAACGCGTCTTCATTTAACGTTGGCACATTTTATTTGTTTCAAAAAAAAAAGAGGGGAAAAAAAACATGTAGCAAGATTTCGTGTCACATAATCATTAATGCAGGAACCCCGTGACGGTTATTTACCATCTAGTTGGCACGTTTCATCAGCTTCTCTACCCAATACTATCAACTTTTGTCATCAAAATGTTAAATGATGAACTAAAGGTAATGGATAAATCTAGGAGCTAAGATAAAACATATCAGTAACTCGTTTGTGTTCAATTCACCTCACGTTTGAATTTGACAGTCACCGTCTCAGAGTGTCCATAAGTGCAGAGTGGGAATGAGAGAAGAGGTGTGCTTGTTTTATTTGCCAGCCGCTCCCGTCACAAACATTACCACAATGCTCTGTTCACCCCGCCCCCGTAAAGCTGCGCTGTAACGACCAGCTAGCGCTCCTCAAAGAAACTACCCAATGACAAGACAGCATTTCACGGGGAGGAGGGGGCGAGAGGGGGCCAATCAGATTCCAGCAGGGGCCATGGCCCCTGTGGCCCCTTCCTTCCCTTTGCCTATGCGAGACATTCATGCCGGCGGTCGTAGCTACAATTGTAGCCACATCTGCCCTGGAGCAGGCTGACAGAGCCATGGCTGCCATTCTGCGCCTACGGCCCCTCCGACCACCACCACAGACAATCTATTCATACTCATTTGCACCAGGCAAGATGTGTTTTACAACCACCCTTCTCACTTTCTCTACACTCTTCTCTGCTAAATGAAATCCAATCTGAGTGGATTACACTGACCACAGTCTTTTTAAGTTTGTCTGTGTTGTAATGCACAACTATTTTGGGGTTCTTGGGATAAAAATGTTTGACCTAGTTGAAGCCGAATTTGTTTGTGTTGTTCCACTCCACGTTCAATCATAACACTTATTGCTGCCAAAGGATCAACTCTGGAGTCCAAGTCAAGTCAGTTTATGTTAGCTTAGCATACTTTTCATCATGCCTAAAGAGAGACCATAGCTGCTGTTTGGCTTGTTGAGGCGTAGTAATGCATTTTTTTTTGCCAGTGTTGCTTTATATGCATCAAAAAGTGATCCATAAAAAAGTCGTCCAAATAGTGATGTGTACGTCTGGAGGTAGTTAAGGCTCTGGCTCGTGACTGAAAACACCTAAAATATTATAGCACTGTGCACAGCAAGATTGCCAAACACAAGAGCAGTAACTCTAAGCTGTGAGCAGTCAGAAAACTTAAATACGGGCTCTGTGTTTGCCCTTTAAATACAGTGGTTGTTGTTATAATCTTTGAGCAATTTATTAATAACAACAGCCTGAGGTGAACTTCTGGTGTTACTGGTATTCCCATTTGTACATTGCAGTAGCACAGTAACAGGCTGTTAGCATTGAAAGGAACTTACTGAAGGTAATAGCTAATGAATCCTCCTTAGAGATTAATGCTAGCTGACCGCTGACTCATTTCAGCAGCAAGTGAGAGGACAATTGAAATTGTAAGGACTATGTAGATTAATGGATCTTGATTAGATACTAGTTTTTTTAGAGGGTAGTTTGGAAATAAAAGGACTGATACCACTCCTACATCTGTAACATCTGTAACGCTAGGTTAAAGATCCCCTTTGGTGGAAATTTTTACCCTGTCATAATGTCCATATGATGTTTTTTTTATATGCTGGAAGACGTATCACGAGCCAGATAAGCAATCAACGGCACGGCTGAGCATTTCCTTTTCTTAAAGCTGCAGTGCAAAGATGACTTTCTCAGAAACACCGATTTACACTTTCAGTGGTTCATTTGAAACAAACCTGATGAAACAATCCTGTCAGCTTTCAGGACGGCACTTTCTGTATCATCAATATTCTTCTTCTGAATCAGGTTCCAGTTCAA